CATCGCTAGTCATCAGAGAAATGCAAATTAAAACCACAATGAGATACCACCTCACACCAGTGAGGATTGCCACCATCCAAAAGACAAACAACAAATGTTGGCGAGGATGTGGAGAAAGGGGAATCCTCCTACACTGCTGGTGGGAATGTAAATTAGTTCAACCATTGTGGAAAGCAATATGGAGGTTCCTCAAAAAACTCAAAATAGAAATACCATTTGACCCAGGAATTCCACACCTAGGAATTTACCCTAAGAACACAGCAGCCCAGTTTGAAAAAGACAAATGCACCCGTATGTTTATCACAGCACTATTCACAATAGCCAAGAAATGGAAGCAACCTAAGTGTCCATCAGCAGATGAATGGATAAAGAAGATGCGGTACATATACACAATGGGATACTATTCAACCATAAGGAAACAAACCCTACTATTTGCAATAACATGGATGGAGCTAGAGGGTATTATGCTCAGTGAAATAAGCCAGGTGGAGAAAGACAAGTATCAAATGATTTCACTCATATGTGGAGTATAAGAACAAAGGAAAAACTGAAGGAGCAAAACGGCAGCAGACTCACAACCCAAGAATGTACTGACAGTTACCAAAGGGAAAGGGACTGGGAAAGATGGGTGGGAAGGGAGGGATGGAGTGGGGGGAGAAAGGGGGCATTATGATTAGCATGTGTAATGTGGGGTGGGGGGCATGGGGAGGGCTGTACAACAGAGAAGACAAGTAGTGATTCTACAACACCTTACTATGCTGATGGACAATGACTGCAATGGAGAATGTGGGGGGAACTTGGTGATGGGGGAGTCTAGTAAACATAATATTCCTCATGTAATTATAGAGTAATGATTCCAAAATAAAAAAAAATGCACTCATCAAAAAATTGTTGGCACACCACATACTATGTATTACATGTTTATATATATTTAAAAATCACAAAAAAATCTCTCTTGAGTTTCTGTTTAAAATAAAAACTTAAGTCCAGTAAAATACGTCAGAAAAACAGAGCATCAGCTCAAAAACCAGCACCTGCCCCAGAGGTGCTGTAATTTGACATTTTGTTGAAATTACTCTGAAAATTAGTTATGAGTTACATAGTATAAGAACAAAAGCAGGCTACAGTATTTCCTTCCAATGGGTAACATTAAAGCCTCAGAAATGAAATGTCCAACCCTCTTCTAGAAATAAAAATCAATTGAGAAGAGTGGCCCAGAAAATATTAATGCAATCAGTCTGCAGGCTGCCAGCTAATTTACAATCCATGACAAGCAGAGCCAAGTGAGAGTCATTTACGTTTGTTCTTGTATAATGGAAGGGATGAGAGTGAAAGGATCTGCTGAATCAAACTGCGTTTGACTGAGGAATGACAGAGGAGTTTTCTTCAATTAATAGCCAGCTGCATAACCTGAGCTAATGCCAGCTGGGCTTTCATCTTGAAGTGACACAACAACAAATTATTCTGTACTCAGGTGTTGGCTCTGATGCTGTTAATCAATCTATCCATAGTTGGAAGAGGGTGATTATGCTACATGAGGTTTCTGAACATATCTGGCAACTGTTTTAAGGATACAGAGTTCATGCTGGTTGTTAAAATGTCCACGAGGACCTGTTCAGGCTCACATGTTGGCTGGGATGGACAAATTCCTAGAAGGGAGGAGCCAAAGAGCAGAGAAAGGGTCTCATCAAGGCCGCGTTGATTTCTTCCACTGCTGAGGGAAATCCATATTCATATTCAAGTTACATGCTCAAGGAGGGTTTTATTAAGGACATCCAATTGAGGGAATTTTTGAAAGGGAAAAATGAAGACTACAATGACATTAAAGGAATCCAGTATAGGTTTGAAGAAGTCACAGTACATTCAGAGGAGATTAACAGGCCCAATTGCTGGAACTTTTCTAGTGCAGTGCCTGTCCTGGTGGTCACAAGTCCATGTGCCTTCTGGTTGCCCAGCCACATTCCCGGCTGTCTGGATGGAAGAGCGCCCACCCACAAGCCCGACCTTTTCATCACAGGAAAGTTTCCGAGGTTCCATGTGTCAGGAAAGTTTCATTTACCTATCACTTCAAGTAAACACCTCTCTTGTGGGGACTCCTTAGAGAAAAGCCCACTTGAAAGCATCTAACCAAAGAAATGCAGGTAAGAAAAGGAGAAGCTACAGAAGAACCTATGTACAGGATACACAGACACAAAGTAAACCCTCCAACTGATGAAGCAGTAGCAGCTTGACCTGTGAATGCTTTGCTATCTTTTTGCTCCCTCAATTTTCAAACTGTAGCCCTGGGAATATAAATACACAATTCTAAACATTCACAGGCCTCCAGCAGCAAAATACCACAGAACAGCTTCACAAGCAGGGCATGCAGACCATAAATCCTGTAGTGGCAGGAGAGGTGGTGCAGAAGAGGACCATCACCATTCAGTACCCTGGGCAGAAGGAAAAGGCAACTGGCAGCCCATTCCTGGATTCTTTCATTCATGAGCAAAGGTCTCAAGGATTGAATTACCCATTTGACGCTAGTTCTACCCATGCCAGAGGGCAAAGTTACAAGACTGCCAAAGGCCACAGCTGCTTTGGATTTAGGCAGCATTGCTTGGTCTGTAGTGAGGGCAGAGAGCAGGGTCTGTATGGAGAAGGGCTGGGAAAGGGGCTTCTCAGCACATCTGGTCATGAACATTCCATTCCAAAGTGGATTTTAGAGAAGGACTCAGGGAACAATGATCCCAGGATTTGACTCTTTAACTTGGACAGCATGAGAAGGAAACCTAGTCTGGCCATGTGATACTGATGAGAAACAGTCTTTGCTGCTGGCAACACAGAAAGGAATGGGCCAAACAAAACCCATCACTGTTAGTTACATTCTGAGCAACAGAGAGTGAATCCTACAACCAGCTGGCACCCTGTGCCTTTAGTGGTTGGTCTGGGAGACCCTAAGCTATTTAGCTGAATGCTCTCTTCACAGTGAGTACTGAGTTGGTGAGCTGGCAGGAAGCTGAATTAACAAGTACTTTCTCAAATGCTATCTACATGCAATGTCAGTGGGTACCCTAAGTGGGTGCCCAAGTCAGCAATTTATAGCTAGAATACAGGTATAATTCCTAAGTATGAGTATTGAACGACAACGTTCCCCAAATATGTGTTTACTTCTTTCAACAAACACTCAAAACATGAAACACCTTGGTTATTTTCTAGCTTTCTGTACATAACAACCAAATGTATGAATGGCAACAGAAAACTTTGATCATTAATGTTTAAGAGCTTTGTTTTTATAATCTTTTTATGGAGCTGACAAAGCCTCTGTTTCTGTACCTGGAATAAATGATACATATGCATGTATTAGCCTACTCTCTTTCTGAACCATGGTTATGTATATAATCTTAACTGTTTCATTCAGGAACTGTCTACTTCGTGATTCGTCATTTTCTCCACATTTTCCTTTTGACATTCTCTTCATCAGAAGAAAAGAAGTGATAGAATTGGAAATGATTATGCAAAATGCATGTCCCAGGCTCAATGCTAGAAAACTTTTATATGTTTTCTTTAAACCAAACAGCCTTCTGAAGGAAACACCTAATTACATATAGGTCAAAAGAAGCTCAGTGGTAAAGACATGAACCAAAACATCACTTTCTCCAAGGTTTACACAATAGAGTAACTTGATTTAAGAGAAGTCTACATGCCATTGTTTTATCCCTGCATTCCCCATCATTCTTCTCATAAGCTTGTCATTTGCCTGTCTTCCTTTTAAAATGTGATTTCCTTGAAGGTGAGGACTACATCTTATTCACTCTTCTACTCTCAGTGCCTTGAAGCATGCCTGGCAGCTGGTAGCTGGTCAGAAATGTCAGTAGCAAATATAAGCCATACTTCACTAAGTATGCAAAGAACTGGGTTTTAAATTCAGAAATGTCTCATTCCAACACCTACCAAGCAAAGAATATTGGAGTTTATCCATGTTGTTTGGCAGAAGAATGGCAGTTAAGATTAGTTTATCCAATTTCATTTTAGATGTGTTCACAACCAAGGGGTTCTCAAGAAATACTTGACAGAATTCGTGTATCCAAGTTAGTTAGCTCTGTTTCCCCAAATCATAGATAACTGGGAACTAAAGATTCATATAAAAGTCAGCCTGCATGGAAGCAACAGGAGTTTTCACTGAAGACAGGAATGAGCATTTCCTTTGCTAAGCCATAGGTTGCCTTTTCACCTGGATTACAGGAAAAATACTCCAACACCAATTTTACCTCAAAGAACCCTGTTAAATAAAACCCCAAGAGTTCTCCGCATGAAAAATTCTAGTGTTTTCTTACTGTATAAGTTCAAAATGTAAATATAATCAGGATGGCATTTCCTTTCACAGCCTCATTTAAAAAAACATTAAAAGAACCAGGATTTTGACGAACTAAGTAAAATAGCTTTAAATCCTGGGGAAAGAGATTGCAGGTACTAGGCCCGAGAAGGATTTCCAGGGGTAACTTTGCTGATGAAGCCTAGGCCTGTTCACACCAGCTTGCTTTCTGATCTCTGGCTCCCCTTCTCTAACCCCAGTTGTAGCAACATATGTTAATAATAAAAACATTTAAACTAAAAAGATGAACAGTAGGCAGAAAGCAGTTGCTTGGTTTAAAAATGTAACCAATTTAGGGATGATAAGACCAGCTCAGCTTTTCCATTAGGTACGGTAAGTACCTTGCCCACTGCCCACAATTCTTTTAGGAATCCACAACAGTGTTTTTGTATCTTTTAAAATCAGAAAAAATATGACTATAACTCAGCTTAGATTATATCTGTCCTTATACCAATGCATTTGTAAAGTATAATTTTTAGTATTGCTTTTTCTTATGTAAGAAGAGGCCACAGTGCATCGAGCCCACAGAAGTCACAGCACAGCCCTGACCTAGGCTATTTTTCATCTTTATAAATCTTCCACAGCATTAATATGTGTTGGGATGCCAAGGACCCATTAATGTTGTATCCTTTTATTTCTTTATTCCCCCCAAAACATGCAAAATTCTTATCACTTAGATTGGATATTGATAGGTTATCAATGGATATCAATCACAAAATCCAATTCAACTGGGCCACGGAAGAAAAAACGTTTCCTAAGAAAGCCTTCCATTCTCCATCTCACATCTTTTACCTGGAAAGCAACAACATAGAAATAATCACTATTTCACAGGAACCAAGAAAGATGAATGACTAGAACATTGTGCGCCTTGATAAAAACACTAATCGAGAAATGCTTACCCACAAAGCTTCAGTTTTGTTTGGAGTCTTCATTAAGTACCTCTCATTATGGAAAGAGGCAAGAAGTAATAGTTGAAATTATGTTTTAGCATTATCTGTGAATTGTACTTATCCAAAATCTTTGTAAATTTATTATATTAAAGAGAAGTAGTAGTATATCCACAATCCAAATCCCAGTATTTGGAACAGAAAATTTTAGGATTTCTAGTATATTCTAAGTAGTCTCTTTTTAAAAATATATATAAAAGAAAATTAAACACCTTGCGTACATAATATATGATCAATAAGACAGAATGAGAGTGAGAAATATTAAATTATATAGGAAGAAAATAAGTAATAACAACCTCAAGTAAACATTTGCTTTTTATGCAGATAAAATTTAGCCTTTTTTAAAAAACATTTTTCTCTCCTCTTCACTAAGTTAGGAATAATAATCTCACTTAGATATTAGCAGCAGGTAGAGGGGACCTGTCACTGAAAATAAAAGCAAAAGTTCACTTTTTTCCTTTTCAAAATATAATTTGCACAATTAGGCTATTAAATATATGATCATCTGATACTATAAGAAAGCAGAACATTGAAAGATTTATAATTCTATTTTGCTTCAATGTTTTGAACAATTTGTTAAATATGGCATGTATTTCGGGATACTACAATACATCTCTGAGTACTTGTCACGCATCCTTCCTTCCTTTCTTATTCTCATAACAGAATGCAAATTTTGTGTTGGAGAACCACTCTCCTAAGGATGGAGCTGACTTCCATGACTAAAATTTCCATGACTTTCATGACTAAAACACATGATTTATTCTAGTCCAGCATTTAATCCAAGCCCACCCATGTCAAGCCAGGTCTGAGTCTTTGTGGGAACCATTGGGAAATAAATGCTCCCATGCCACTGAGGTTACTAGAGGCAGAATTGTACCTGGTACTGACTTAGTTTTTTTTACCACCACATAGGAAATGGCTGAGAAAGACAGCAGCACAGAGGGGGAGAAAAAGAAAAACAGAGACTAACATCCTAATCACATCATGAAAGTACCTAGATCAAACCTTGTACCCTTGAAAACCACACTCCCTGGATCTCCCAGCTTTAAGATCCCATAAGCTATCTTTGTGTTTGCTTAAATTTAGTTCTATTATTTGCAACTAATGGGGGAGAAAACTCTAATGCACTATTTCACCACATCTTTCTAAATGTTAAGGAATGCAATAGAAATCTTGATATGATGCATATCTACTCTTGCATACTTTCCCTTCTCTTTGCTGCTTTGTATTTGATTTACAATAAAAGAATCCAGTTGATTCTTGTCACACCACTGGGGCAAACTGATTGACTGACTGATTCATTTATTCATTCAACAAATGCTTACTGCACATCATTATGTGTCAGGTACGTGCTGAGATTCATAATTGAACGGAAGAGACAAATAGTCTACTTTCATAAAATGGTCTACTTCAATATGGTGGGTGGGAATCAACAATTAATAAGTAAAGAGACAGCCCATGTAACTATGTTGGATAGCTACATATGCTAGAGTAAAGATACAGAAATATGCAGAAAAGAGAATGCAGAATGTCTGGGCTAGATGGTGAGTTTTGTTTTGTTGTTTTTTAAATAGGTGGTCAGAGAAGGTCTCATTAATAAAGTGATATGTGAGCAAAGATGTAGAGAAAGTGAGTTCTTTACCCAAGAAGGTATGGGTCCTGGAATAGACTATATATAGGAAGGCCCAACTTGGTAGGGTGTATGACCAATTTTTTTCTTTAGGAGTTAACCTATTTACACAAAGGAGAAACTCCCATTGATGGCCCACTAAGAACCTTTCACTGCTAGCTGTCTGAGGGAACTGGAATATTTGTTTTGTTTCACTGGGCAAACAGAATTATGAGTTAGGGGTGGCTGTAGGTTCCATGAATCATTATTATTTTCAGTGTGCACTCTCGAGCATAAAGGCTGTGATGTGACTTGCTGACTAATTTTATAAAGCACCTGGAGCACCTCAGGGCAAAGGCACTATGTCAACACCAACACTAAACAAATAGCAATAATTGGCCAAATCCTCTGGTGGTGTAAGGCAAATAAAATATGTTCCCTCTTGGAAGTTCATGACGTCTGCCAGGTTTACCACTTGGCAACCTGGGTTAAGCAAGAATGAGGCAAAGCATTTTTAGAAAGCCACTTTTGCTACCATTGTATAACCACTGTACAGGGCCTCCAAACGACTATGAAATATTGAGTATTTAACAGCAAATTAAAGCTGAATATGTTTTATTTCATGGTACTGAATAACCACTTGAAATTTTAGTCCTTATTATTTGCCAGGCAGTTTCACTACTAGTCAGAAATAAGAGTAGAGTGATATTCATTAGATAAAAGCAGAATCATTACCCAATAATTTTTAGAGCACATATGAATCTCTATTTAGGAAAAGGACTTTTTAAAGCATTGCATCTCTTATAGTTTCTCAATGTGAATTTTGATTACAGAAATTTTCCCCAAACAAGAATAGTTGGTAGGCTTCCAGATGGTAGATGGAACTCCAGAACGTACCTATTAACTAGATATCTTTGGTGTGTCAGAGGATAATATAGGGAAACATACCTAATTTCAATGCAATTCTTTACCCACTCCACTCCACACCAAAAAAAAGGCATTTTTAAACAAGGAAGTGCAATATACGTACACAATTTGTAAACAAACATCAACATTTGAATTTTAGTTAAAACAAGGTATAGCTCAGGATAAAACTAATTTTACTCTATTAACTCCAAAAGTCACTGGGGAAAAAAAAGCATTAACCACTTTCTCAAGGTTATTAACTATTCTTGCTCTTAGAATTATGAGACACTTTGGTTGTGACACTTTAGTATTAATCTAGTATGACTTTTATTTCACAGATGAAGAGAATAAGTATCAGAGTGATCTCTTCACTAGGAATATAAAAATCAACTATAATACCTTGAGCCATGGCTACAACTAGTATTTGGGGATGTCCCTGCAGATGTTTTCCTATGAATATATATATATATGTGTGTGTGTATATTTATATATATATTCCTTATTTTAAAAATGAACCTCTTATTTTATATACTATTTATATATTTTTTTGTTTAACTTACAATGAATATCTACTATGTCAAAATGCTCTTTGCACACCAGTATTTCATCACATGCAGTACTTTCATAAATTAATCCTCACTGCTGGATATTAGGGTCCATTTTTATTTTCAACTATATTAAATGGTAATATAGTTAAATCTTTGAACATATCTTTAATTATTTAAATTTTTAAAAGAGAAACTGATTCATGGAGCATGGATTTTTCTCTTAGGTTTTTGACAATTACAGAATTTCCTTCTAGAAAGGTTATTCAAAATTTCATTTTCACTTCCAGTAAATCAGAATGCCCTAATTTGAACCAATATTTGGTATTATGTCACTTTGTTTTTTTAATCTCAGATACTCTGATTAGAAAAAAATGTTGCTCTGGTATTGTTTAATTACATTTCTTCAAGTTTGGGTTTTTATTCATGTCATTGGAAAATTATGTTTATTTTCTTATGACTTGATTATGCACTGATTTTTCTATAAGACTGGTCATCTTGTTATTGATTTCTAAGGATTTTTTAAACAGATTAAAGTGAATATGCCCTTTTAGCAATGTTGGAAATAGATTCCCTCATTTTTCAGGTGCCCTTATATTTCATTTATGGTGTTTTTTGATGTGCAGAAACATCCGATTTTTTAATGTACACATACCTATCAAACATCATCATGCTTCCTAGCTCTGATGATATATTAGATATACTGCCCCACTTTAAAACTAAATAAATATTCACCTATATTTCATTAGTCATTTTATACTTTTTAGTTGTCATATTAATAAAATTATATATTGTAGGTAACATTTAATTTTAATTAAAACCTTACCTAGTATATATTTTTATGTAAGGTATAAGGAAGGAATCAGTTTATATTATTTTCTAAAACAACTACCTATTGTCTCAATACTGTTTATTTAAAAGCATCCCTTTTGTCATTGAATGAAATATTAATCATACCATAAGTGTATATGTATATACATATATATATATATATATATATGTATGTATGTATATATACACACACACACACACACACACACACACACACAGACCCACACAAGTCTTATTTGGAATCTATAGTCTCTTCAAATAATCTTTAGCTAGTTCTTCCCCTGAACCACTGTCCTAATTCTTATAGTTTTTATGATGTAACAATTTCTGGAATGGTGAGCTCTCCATCTCTCTACCCTTTACTCATTGTGCTTCTATTCACATTTTTATTGGCTTTCTCATGTATTTATTCCTTTAGATCAACGTTTTATTCCTTTAAAACATTTCATCAAAAAAATAACTAGTATCTCATTCCTATTGAGTGTAACTCAATAAATTATATAGCTTAATTAGCCAGAACTGACATCTTCAGTCTTGAAATAGGTCTTCCTATGGCATAGTGAGTAAGAGTGAAGTTCAGAAACAGCCTGCATAGATTCAAATCCTAGCTTCAGCTCTTACTAGCTGTGTGATCCTGGGCAAGTGGTTCCTAGTTACCAAGTTATTAAAAACAGGATAATAACACCACCACATCATAGCACTGTATGAAATTAACAGATGGTTCAATACACAATGTGCAAAATACTTAAATGCTTACTTAGTATGAGAAGTTATTATGATGTCTCTAAATTTTCTTTTAGTCATGATTTATTTTCTTAATTAAAAAATTTTCTGATTTCTTTTTATTTTCATTCATAGGTACAGTATGTTTTTGTGACTGGAATCCTGTGCTATTTATAAGACTTTTTTCCACTGTAATTTCTAATTGACTATTACTCTTTAATAGAAAAGCTAATGATTCCCTTATACATGTTTTGTATTTGGTCACCTTACTGAATCTCTGTATTATTTCAAATAATCTGTCTTTTAATTCCTTCAGCTCTTCTGTGTAAATACCCAAATAGTTACAAAGCTACTTCCCATGTTACATTTTATGTTTCAAATAATTGTACAAAGTGGAGTTTCCCAAACAATGTTACATAAAAATATTTAAATATTATATGATAGTGCCTATAATTAAGCTGATTTTAATAGAAATGACTCACACTTAAAAATCTTTTTGGCTCCTGAGATAGACACTATACTCTTCTGCTGTCCTTTCAGTGTCCTCTTTTTAAAAAAATGATGAATGCATATTAAACGTTAGTCAAATGTCATTCTGTCATTTGTCATTAAAAGACTATTGTTCTCTCTTAACTTACAAATACGACATATTCTGTCAGCAGATTCCCTCACAATGAACAATTTATAGAACCAATCTTATTTGATACAAGCATGAATCTTATAATAAAATGCAGATTTCAATTTACTAGTATTATATTTAGCATTTATCTATTTAATAACAAGATTGGTTGAGGGATTTCTTATTGCAATTAGATCTAGTTCATACAATGATTGTAAAGTTGGCTTTCTTTTCATAAACTCTAGAAAAATTTAAATGACATACCAACTCATAATTCTTCAGTTTGTGAACAGTTTCAAAGAAATTCTCTGGGCCTGATGTCTTTTGCAGGGCTGGTTTTAAAAAGCAACGTTTCCAATTTTTTTTCCCCAAGATATTTTTTTATCAGTTACATACTTCAACTTGTCAATTTTGGAACTACATGTGTATATATACACATAAAATGTTTTTTAATAGAAAAGCCTCATTTAATCAAGGCTCTTTGGTAAATATTTTATTAATATATACATATTAATAAAATTATATGTATATACCTATGCATGTATATATAGAGTTTTATATATATACATATATATATATGTATATATATATAACTGTTTCACCAGCTGTTAGGTATGACTATGTCTCATTTTCTCTCACCACAGAAAACTGGGAAAGACATTTTAGGAGGTGAGAAATAAAACATCCTCTTTCAAGTTTTCGCCATCTCCCGAGAGAAACACTATCGTCTCAGAGATGTGTCTCCATGCCAACAGTACACACCCTGTGATCATTTTTCCTAATCACCAGGGACTTATTTTCTACTTTCAACTTGAAAGGAGTAAGCAGGGATCCCTTCCCCACCTACTTTCAGCTGTAAAACAGTAAGGAGAGATCCCCTTCCTCAAAATCAAGCTGCTAAGTGACTTAGTAGGTATTTCACAGAATTCAAAATCAGTCTAAGATTTATAACAGAAACACTTCTCAACCTATGTGTCTCAATTTTCACAGCCTCTCTTAGAAAGAGAGTTTTTTAGCACTAATTTCAGAAAGAGCATGCACTTTTCATATTATATAATATTCTGAGCAACACTGAAATGGCTACTTAGTGAGATTTCTCAAATAGCAATTTAAAATATTTTTATGCCACTTACCTGAGAAACATTAACAGACACAACAAACTACACTTCATATTTCAGGAACCAGTGCAGTACACTAATGTTTAAAAAGGAGAAGGCAAGGCAAGTGTTACAAAGTGAAACTGGCAGAAACTCAAGCTATTCAAATAACTGAACCTTCCCTGAAGCAGCCCTACATCTCTGTCATTTACCAGGTTACTAACGAATGGAGCCAAGTATGGAATACAGCAATAGCTGCAGTTTCTCGAACACCTGCCACAGACCTGGCATAATGCTGGGTGTTACAATCAGCTCTACTCCTCACGATAACTGAAAGGCAACAGAGCAGAGGAGAGCCCACACTACTTGCACCTCCTCCGAGCCAGACACCAGGGTCAGTGAGTTCTTAGTGGCAACCATCCCATTATATTTTCACAACCATCTTGCAAAACAACTATTACTGTCCCCATTTTGGAGATGAGGAACCTAAATCCAAGATCCCAAGGTCAGGGAGCTAGTAAATGACAATAAGGTCAAAGTCCATGATGGTTGTATCGCACCACTGTTGCAAGTTCAACTCAACTTGTTTCTGAGAATAATGACCAACTTGTTCTCTACTTACAACATGCCAGGCACTGCCCTCAGTCATAAAGTATCACAAAAGAAGGGCCATGACTGCCCCGGACCCCAATCTTATTACAGAAGGAAAGCAAGACTTATAAAGATGATGACCTGCCCAAGATCACATAGAGCTGGCAGGTGACAGGGCCAGGATGTACACCCAGACTAATTCTGAACTCTGATCTCTTAATCACTCTACTTTCAGAAATGTCCACTGAAAAAGATGCCTGAATTTGGGGAATATTTTTTACAGAATCCAAAGAAATATGAATAAATTAGCACCAGAGGAAATTGCTGTAATTTATAATTTCATGATGGGCAGTTTTCTTTACATGTCAACTATGTGGAATTTCCACTGAGGAAGGAACACAGTGAACCACAACCAAACCTGTGACAGGGAAGCTAACCATGAAACAACTGCAGGCAGGTGAGTCAGAAGCAGGACTCTTTTCCAAAGAAGGTCAGTTATGCTTGACTACAAAGATTTTAGGATCTTGTTTCTACGGGCAATGTAGTAATTTGGAATGACATAGATACAACCATCTGAATAATTATTCAGATATAACTATCTGAATAAATGGTTTTCTATTCTAAACTTCTGAGTGTGTAGGGATGTAAGATGATGAAGCCCACGGGACATAGGCAAATTTATTTGTGGATAAGTATAGGGAAAAACAGCAAAAAGAAACACTGTTCCCCTGGCAATGAATGTTAACTCCTTTCTTAAGGCCTTCCTGCTGGTCGCCCCGCATTCCCAACTTGTTGGAAAACTCTAAGACTACCCTCTGTAAACCCTTCCCATGCAGCCCACTGGGGACTGAAGCAAAAGGAGCCCCCAGCAGCGCTGACATGTTCAGATTCAGAGATGGGTACCCGAACTGATTCCTATTGCTTCCACCACTTTCATCCCAACTGTAAGGGGGTATTCCAGAGTAAATGGGGAATCCCATATCCTTACTCCGCATGCAAATGGATAAGGCACCCTGACTTCTTTCCAGCTAATGCTGAGAAGACCAAGTGCTTCCTTATGAGCATGAACCTGCACTCAAGGGACCCCCAGTCACCTCATGTTATCTGCTAAAGGAGATGGAATAGTTCTACTTTACGTACATATACAATTCACATTTCCTTTATTTTTCTTAACTTATTCTAATGTTTTACGTACTTTACAGCTGGCTTCCAGAGTTTATGAAACCTGTCCTTGATAATTTTCTTAAAAAATAAGCTTTCCACAGAGTAGAATGTAAATGCTACTTCTTCCCTTTTCTGACTAGGCTGAGCTCTCAAGGGGCAGTGAGTGTCAGGTGGTCTCCCTGAGGTCTGCACACCCGAGACAGGGCACCTCTTAGGTCCCTGGCAGGATTGTGATTGAATTCTTAACCTGTACCATAATGTTCTGGTTTTGGTTTTTTAATTCAAATTCTCTCTCATTCTTTATATATTTATTTCACACGTGGCATCCATTGTGTTAAGGGCCTCTCACGCAACCAGCACAACAATCCTGTGAGGGAGGAGATACTTGCGGTTTTCAACTATTTTAGTAGAGAGATCTGAGGAGGAGAAAGGTTAAGTGGTTTGCCTACGGCCATATCCCTGCCTTGGGAATTCTGCTCACTGTAACACAGCGGTGAAGACACTGGCTCTTAGAACACTCATTGTTCTTTACCCAAGTAGTATGTCACAAGAAAATACATTTCAGGGTTTGGTATAAAGGAAACATCATCTTTCCGGAGAAATGGAGATGGGTGTTCTTCTCATGTAACATTTCTCTTGTTTCACTGCTTAGTTTGACCGCTACGTAGCTATGAGACAGATTCCTAGGTTCCTTCAAAGGAAACACAATGACCCTTATTATTGCAATATCCACTTTCTTTTTACCCAATTCTCCCTTTTAAAATTGCGAATTGAAAAGAAAACTTTATTGCCTTTGTACTTTGTGTAAGACACTGCAGGTCCTTTTTGTAAACAGGCAGGACATGAATAAATGAAGGAGGAAAAGGAGGGAGTGAAAGCAGGAGGGAAGAATGGCTGTGATGTACATCTATAAGATCTTTTGTACCATTCTAGACACTGCTGTAATAATTATTGAAAATACTACGTTGATATTACACCGAGTTACAATTTGTTATCTTTCCTCAGCACCTGCATTGGTAGGTACTTGTTGCAATGCTATCACATGGTTAGTGTTATTTCCTGGCTATGCTGGCGTCTTGGATTGAGAACCTTTACATGCCAGTCTTGCCATCTTTGATAACTGGCTAGGTGTCTAAAAGTCACAGAGACACTGAGCAGAGTTGAAGACTGCAGCCGGCCTCTCTCACTTTGTCAGGTGTTTAAAGTACAATGATGGTTTGTAACATATATTGAAATAATTCTGTCAGGTTTATATCTAGTAATGTATGTGCTGTGAGTTAATATAAGTATTTCATACTAAGCATCACGGCTGATGTACCCTCCTCTTAGATGCTGGCATCCTGAGAGAACAGGCATTTTACTGAGTTGAAGAATGAGCCAAAACAGCCATGTGGAAATAAAGAAAACAGCACTGAAGCCACACAATGCTCAGCACAGATCAGCACTGCTATATTTGCAAATGAAATCAGCTACAAGGAGGAAAATGTAAAATGACAAGACAATGAAATGCATCAGGGAAAATGAGAACCTCTGGAAAGAAAGAACCCAGCAGTACCAGACTTTAGCCCCTCCAGTTGGAAAGGGCCAATGACCGTCACCTATCACTAACACCCCACCTTCTTATAAAATTCTGCACTTAATGTGGAATATTACTGGTGGTTCTAGAAGGCATATGCTTGGTTGTACAGGAAACATGAGTTTTGGAATCACTAAGTAATGAATTTGCAGATTTACAGCCAAGAGACATTTATCCATTTTCCTCCTACAAATCCTAATTGAGCATCTACTATATACTAGTGCTGTTCTAGCCTTGGGGATACAACAGGAAACAAAACAGACCAAATGCCTTGTCTGCAGAATTCATATTCTAGTTGGAGGTAAATTATAAGGATATTTGAAAGTGGTTAAGTATGACAGAAAAAAAATACAGCAGGAGAGGGAATTAGGGATAGAGACTGCAGTTCTCAATCTGTCGGTTAGAAAACGCTACCCTGAGCTGCCTTGTACGTGAATATTTGGTGGGAGTAAGCCATGCAGATATTTTGTGAAAAGTAAAACGTTTCCTCATGTGGATATAAATATGCAGGTGGAAAACAGCATTTTCTATGCTTTATACTGTGTCTTTCAAAGAGCAGCATGCAGATGACAGAATAGAAGGGGAGTCAAAGCCAAAAATTTGACGAAAAACATGTTTTTATGTTGAAAAAAAACAGAGAAAAGCGAACAATCAGAATGCACATATTTTAAAGATAAAACTGAATGTGTTAAAAAAAATTTGTATTTGACACCATAAGTCTAGGCTGCTGGCCCAGACACCAGGCATCCATGTTCCATTCCTCCAAGTATGAAAAGTGCCAGTGGACCTCTTCTCCCTCTGCTGAGAGAGCCATGTCAGGGATCTGGCCGAGTTCAGGAGAATTCGAGGATAATAAAGTTCACAAGCTCCTACTGTGCAAAGCATCATGGACACAACACATGTGCTGCTGCCTCTCACATACATGCTACACAAAACACACAGATTTTATATACATCTAAGCTACACTAAATAGATGGGGAAAATCAGTGAATGGAATGGGAGGGTTATAAACCTCAGAAGTGCAAGCTAGTCTTGTTTTAACTAAGTACAGCCTTATTTTAAATAGGGGAAAACAGAAAGAATGTGAACCCAAAATACCCATATTCAAATTAGGTCATGGCTCTGTCCTTTGTGCATATGAGGCAACTCCTTAGTTTCAGTGACTTCATTCATGAAATGAGTTATTAACAATAAACGTAAAACTCCTAACATGGTACTTCTTTACCCTTCATCTTATGAGACTATTTAATGGCTTATATGTATTTTAAGGATACTGGTTGAAGAAACAGTCTGAAATGTGCCCATTATGCTATTATAGTTTTAAAATAAAAAGACATTTTTAAAGAAAGTCTTACTTCCTAAGAACCATGTTATAATTTCCAGTAATTCTGGACCCATGTGGTATATGTAATTCACTGCATTGCCCATCAGAAGAGATTATTTTATTTATTACATTAACTTGGTTTAAGAAAATAAATAGAAAAAATTTAAATGTTTGTTTTGGAGACATCCTGTGCTATTAACTTCAAAGCACCTTAGCTTCCAGTGACCCTTTTGGACTTTAGCTACAGATAAGATGATGAATGACACTGATTGTTCTGGTGTGAAAACATTTCATGAAGTCATTCTCAAAGTTCCCCTATAGCTAATAGCTCAGAAACATAGTCGCACAATACTAATATATTGTTAAAATATACTTTAAAGACTTTCTGATTAAGGAAAGCTAAAACATTTAAACTTTTCCTATGATTATACTGGATATTTGAAAACTTTTATATAGCATTCATGAAGCATTTTTGTCTGTTCTTGTTTCCTGGAATGAGGTCCTCATGGATCAATCACATTCTTTAGAGACTAAGTATATGCCCAAAATTTTCCCCATTTTCTATCCAAAGCACATGGGAATAATTTACATATAAATGAAGAAACATGCCACCCTTCTAAAATATCAGTTTCTTGACATTCATATATGCTG